TTTGTGGAACCGGGGATTGAACTCAGGTCCTTGAGCTTGCCAGGCAAGTGCTTATTCCACTGAGCTATCTCCCCAGCCCCTGTAACAAATACTTTTAACATTCATTAGATATTTAGATCATCCCTTGTGTATTACAATGTTTACTTCAATGATCGATGGGTTTGTGGAGTTAGTGAGTGGATAAAGATCCACATTCTTCTAAGAGGATAGTGAATTTGAAAATAGCAAAAGTGACATGTTTTGATCTAAAATGTCCCTTAGAAGTTTAATATGCAGAGGTGGGGCCTGGTCAGAAGGGATGGGTTATTGGGGGCATGAAAGGGTGTATTCTTGTCTTTAGCTCTTCTCCCTCTCAGCTTCTTAGTTGCAGCGAGGTGAGCAGCTGTCCTCGGGCAGGCCATTTCTGTCTTGAAGCCGGCCTACCACAGACTGAGTCCACTGAAACTGTGAGCCAAATAAACTTGTTCTTCAAATTGTGGGTTTTGGGTACTTTGTCCCAGTGCCAGGAAGATGGCTAATACATGCAATTTGTACCAGAGTTAGTGTGTCTAACTGTACCTAACCATTAGAAGTTTTTGTAACTGGTTTGTCAGGGGAGTTTGGAAAGATCTGTAGATGTGGGTTAGAAAACCTTGAAATGATCTAAGCAGATCTTGATGGATGAATATGAATAGTGGATGGATAGTGGTCAGGTTTATGAAGTTTCAGATGGGAATGAGTTCTGTTTGAGAAACTGGATTAGAAGCCATCCATGCTTAATCTATGAAAGAATTTGTATAGGTTTTGTTCATATCCTAAGACTTTGTGTGAGGCTCAATATAAAGGTGGTAGCTAATTAATCTAGTGGAGAGTATTCAGCCTACAATGTTCAGGCTGTGGCATGGGTACTGATGACCACCATTAGCAAGATTTACAGTGAGAATGAAGAGTGAAAAGTTTGCAATTTTACCAGAAAGAAGCATCTACAAAGTTGGGTACAAAGAAAGAGTGATTGCTGAAAGAACTGTTAAATGTCCTAAGAATGATTAATATATTAAAAAGAAGCCAATCTGGGTATGGTGGCACACACCTATAATTCCACCACTCTAGAGGCTGAGGTTAGAATTACTAGGCTACATAGCAAGACCATGTTTTTTTTAAAAAAAAGGACAGCAGGAAAGACAACTTGAAGGCATATAAGGATAGGTCCGACTCCCACCTCTGCAGGCACAAGGGTAGTCCTGTAAAAACCTTTGAAAGACATTACTCTGAGAGCCCGATGACACCCTGCTCATTCAGTGTCACAGAGGGAGGTGCTTCCCCAAGTTCATCCACTGGGCACCCCAAGGCCACTGCACCCAAGGTCTAAGGGGCCATGTTAGTGCTCCAGCTTGGGATTTATAGACATGCAGAATGCAAACATTGTGTAGTTATGAAGGCTTCTGCCCAGAACTTAAAAGGTTTGGGAAAATGGGCAATGTGCTCCTGAGAACAATGTATGAAGCTATGACAGGGAAGCCAAAGGTGCAGTAGACACCCCAGGAATTTTTTTTTTTTTCTTATTATGTAGTTCAGGCAGGCCATGACCTTACTATGTAACCCAGGCTGGACTCATTCTCAATGATGTTCCTGCTTTAGCCTCCACAGTGCTGGGATTATAGGCAAGAACCACTATGCCTAGCTGCCCCAGCAATTTATTTTATTTTGGTACTGGGGATTGAACTCAGGACCTCATGCTTGCAAGGCAATCATTGTGCTGCTGAGCTATGTCCCTTTTCCTGCCCCAGGAATTTAAATTATTCCAGGAACATGGACTATCTGCTGAGGAAGACTGCAGACAGTGAACAGAGCCAGCCTAAAAGGCCAGATGGGCTGCAACTGGCAATGCTATAGTTATAAGAGTTATGATGGAGGCAGGAAGTTAGACTGTGACTCAGGGAATGAATTCTTTAAAGAGAATGGAATGTACCAAGTAAACAAATCCTTTCCTGTATCTGGGTTGGTTTTGAGGAATTCAGGAATGCTGAGCAACTGAACTTTTGAACTCTGCATTAGGAAGCTCAAGTACTAACTGGACATTTTATGAAATCACTTGTGGTAAGTTCCCACCAGACACTGAGCAAAACTGTACTCTGTGGAGTAGAAGAAATCTCTGTAGCCATGATGGTGAACCTGTTAGAACTTTCAGTGATATGTAGAGCCCACTGAGCAAGGGTGTTGTCACCTAGCCAAACTTCACCCAGACTGTTCAGGACCCCGCAAGGTGAGCAGGGACTTTTCTTTTGTCTTTTTTTTTTTTTTTTGGTGGAACCAGGGATTGAAGTCTCCTTTGTTTTTCTTAATAAATTTATTTGCATCTTACCTTGCCTTCTTAGAGCGCTGTTTTGTTGTCTTCCCATGACCCAGCCTTTTGCTATTATATCTCACTTTAGCCTGCCCTGTGTGTTGCACATGCAACTGCAAGATTTAAGGTTTGCCCACTGATCTTTGGTCGTTTTAGTCTGAGTCCTATTTGGCCATTCCTCCCTTTTGAAATGGGAATGCTTGCCATGAGTCATTGTATGCTGGAAATAGTTTAACTTTCTTTTTGAAATTTACAAGGGCTTAAAGCTCAAGCTGCCTTGAGTCTCAGAGAAGACTTTGGAATTAGACTTTTCAGCAGTGCTAGCACTGTAAACATTTTGTCATCTCCTAAAGATGGACTAAACACATTTTGCATAAAGAGACAAGCTTGAGACTTTTGGGCACCAAGTGCAGAATGTTATGTTTAGGTCTAAAATGTCCCCCAAATGTCTCTTGTTTAGAGCTGAGTCTGGGGAAAGGAGTGGATCACTTGAGATGTGGTTTAAGATTGTTTTCTTACTCCCTGCTGCCAAGCCTCTTTAAATAGTGGGTGTCTGCTCCATTGCTAAGGAAATGCCTTAACACAGTGGCACATTCAGTAAGATAAAATCATATCTTAAATCATAATATAAATGCATCTATAATTATGTCTCCTGAAAATTTATTATAAAAGGAAAAATACTCCCCATTACCTACAGTTTTAGGATGAAAAACATTCAAAGATTGGGGAACAGAAAGCAGAGATTATCTTTATTTGTCAACCTCAGTATTTTCACATCTCTCTCAGCTCCCCGCACTGTGCTCTTCTCCCTGCTTGCTAATTTTCTTTACATTCTTTCTCTCTGAAGGTGGCTAGAAGGCAAACATTTTAACCTAGAAGGTGATTATTAGAGGTATCAGAAATGACTTTACTTTGGAAATATCTAATTATTTTTCATTAGAATGGTACTTATCTTCTTACAGTTCAATTTTGAACTGATTTTTTAATTAATCATCAGATCTCTTCAAACTAATTTCTTTTTTTAATTTTAAAGAGAAGAAAAATTCAAATTCCAAAATAAGACAAGGGTAAGAAGTTAATACATTGTATATTGTTATCTTTAAATTAGAGTACAAGATAGGCATTTAATTGTCCAAACAATATCAGTACAAACCTCTCTTTTTAATAAACTAAGAGAAATTAGTAGTATAACTCTTAACAATCTTGCATATCTATCTCTCTATCTCTATCTCTATCTCTATCTCTATCTCTATCTCTATCTCTATATCTATCTATATATATATCTTTTCCCTCCTTTTTTCCTTTCCCTTGTTCATTTGTGTTTCTTTTTGAACAGTTTCTTCACATTTCACAACATATGTTGTACATTTTGCATCTTTCTTATTCTTACTCTTTCAACTTCTCACTCTGTGGAGACTATGTAATATTTACACATGTGCATGTGATTTATTTCACTTATGTTTACATGTGAGTCTGATTTTTCTCACAAGTATGGTCTGAAGTTGCATCCATTTACATATAAAAGTCTCCAATTTATCCTTCTTTATGGCTGAGTAGAACTCCATTATATAAAAAGACCACATCTTTTTGTTATCTATTCCTTGGCTAATGGGAATTTGAATTGTTTCCAAGATTTAGCTATTACAAATTGTGTTAATATACACATGGGGGTACATATATTACTGTGGTATGATGTTTGTAATTCTCCTGAGAAGATACCCAGAAGGGGAATAGCTGGGTCAAATGGGACCTCTAATCCTTGTATTTTGAGGAATATCTACATTGATTTCTACAGTGGTTTTACCAGCCTAAACTCCAATTAGCAGTGGAGAAGTGTTCCTTTTTCCCTACAGCTCCTGTAGCATTTGTTATTTCTTGATGATAACCATTCTTTCTGGGATGAGAGCAAATCTCAGTGTTGTTTTAATTTATATCTAATGAACAGTGATGTTGACATCTTTTCATAGTTTGTCATTTGTATTTCCTCATCTGATAAGTATGTATTCATTTCAGGTGCCTATTTTTGGATTGGTGTTTAAATTGAGGGAGTCTTTTTTTTTTTTTGAGTTCTGTATATGTTCTTGCAAACCAAAATTTCAGAAAAGTGATAATTTAGGTTTGTGATCTTAATGTAAACTTATCAATATGATAGGTAATTAAAATCAAATTTTAAAAATGTTATCAACTATGAGGTATCATTCTAGTTTTATGACCCACTGTTTTCATGGATAGATTTTTCTATTATTTACGTTTTTAAGACAGGGTCTCACTATTTTGTCCAGCCCTGTCTCAAACTTGCAGGCACAAATGATCTTGCCACCTATGCCTCCCAAGTATCTAGGACTACAAGTATCTGCCACCACACCTGGCCTCCATTTTTTAAAAGTTATTTTGAGATAAATGTAGATGTGTATGTAGTTGTAAGAAACAATACAGAGTGGTTTCACACTCACTTTACCCAGTCTCTCAATGGTAACATTTTGGGTAACTGCAGTACAAAATCACAATTAGGAAGCTGATATCATTTATTCAAACTATCACTTTATTCAGATACCACATATTTATACTTATTTCTGTGTGTGTGCTATGTAATTGTATCTCATGTGTAGATTCATATGACTACAGTTAGGACACTGAACACATTTTTTATGAAGACTCTCCTGCACTTGGAAAGCCACAACCATTTTCTTTCTTGCCTCCTGCCAACCTCTGTTACTATAACTGAGTTATTTTCTATCATTTTGTCATTTCAAGAATATTGTATAACTGTTAAAGTAAGCCTGAGTTCAAGTCCAGCCAGGATTTTATAACAAGGCCTAGAATAACAGGACCTTGTCTTAAAAAAATAAAGTTGTATAAATGCAAGCATACATTATTTAGTCTTCTGAGATTGGCTTTTTAAAAAATTTATTTTATTTCATTTTCCATCAATTTTATTGAGAAACAAACAGCAATGAGAATCTTCAAAACTGATCAATAGGACAGCTTTAACAATCAACACATCGCATATTGTTGTCCTCGTAGTGGCCATCCACAGCACAAGATGCACACATGACATCCCATCCAAACACCACCAGTACAAATCTCTCTTCTCACTGAACTAAGAGAAAGCAGCTGCACATCCATCCTATTTTGTACATACAGATACAAAATGGTCCTTCATTTGTATCCTTTTGTTTAGTTTTGTCAGAGGTGAATATTCCATTGCCATTCAAAAATGGTAGATGTGTGAATTCAGCAAAATACTTCAATATACTCTGGAAGTTCATAATAGTAGTGGGCCATCTGCAGGACTGGCAATGTCAGAGGTTGTTGACCCAAGCCCCCCACAGCTCAGCATATTAACATGGTTTCACTTCTCATACCTTGTTACTATACTTTTCTGCTGGATGGTCAAGACTAAGACAAAGCAAGAGCCATATAATAAGAAATACAACTTTTGTGTCTGACAAGATCAGTCAAATCCCCCCAGGATTTAGCCTGAAATCCTGTACCACAGTTTGTAGATCCTTTGTCAGTGTCAGCCATGTGTATGAGCCATGGCCATTGCCTGACCAACCTACTCTCTGTGAAAGCCTGAGAGGATGTCCTCTTCCCATGTGACTCTCCTTAGGCACACTCCACATCATCTACTACCCCCCCCCTCTGTGGCCCTACAATCTCCCCTATCAGAAAATTTGGTACATCACTGAGTTATAGGATGTCAGAGTACAGGTTTTCTTATGTCCTGAGTCCTCACTGACCTTGAAAGGCCAGGGCCAAAATGTTGGCTGTCCTTGTAGCCCTTCTTTTTCTCCAATCTTTGGTCTGCAAATAGTTGTCAACCCTCCGGAAGAGCAGCTCAATGATACTATTACTCTATAACACAAGCAGTCAAGCTCAACCTCATCATCCGTCTGAATATCAAATATCCTAGACATAGCATGGAAGAGGTATTCTCCATCAAGTATCGTTATGTTAAACTTTAAATCCCTACAGAATGTGAAGAAAAAATCAAAAAATATTTTAAAAAATTGGAATAAACAATTATATATTTTTACACAGAAATTTACAAATCCAACCATACCAAGCATTGCAGCAGGACAGAGATTGGCTTTTGCCAATTCAATATGATTTCTTTGAGACCATCTGTTATGGTTTGTGTCTAGGTGTCCCCCCCAAAGCCTCATGCAGTCTTGGGTGGCTTCTGGAGTTTGTGATTGATTGCTTTGGGTGTGGATGCAGCACCTGCCCTGGGGCAGGTAATTTGCATTACAATGTAAGGTGGGAAGAGAAGCTAGCTGCTTGAGCCACTGCTACCCCTCCCTCGCTCTTGCTCTTTGCCACCACCATGAAAGGTTGCTTTCTGCTGTGTGCTGTACTGCATTGGACCCAGATGAGTATGGACTGAAACCTCCAGTAACTGTGAGCCAAATAAATATTTCCTTCCTTTAATTTGAGTGTTGGGTATTTGTCCCAGCAACGAGAGAAGAGTAACTAAGACACTATCCAAATTATTGTGTGTACCAACAGTTTGTTCTTGCTGGGCGTGGTGATGCACACTTACAATCCCAGCACTTGAGAGATTGAGGCAGGGGTTCACTGCAAGTTTGAGGCCCGCTGGACTACACAGTGAATTCAAAGCCAGCCTGGGCTACAGAGTGAGATCATGTCTCAAAAAAATAAACATGGGGTTGGGGAGGTAGCTCAGTAGAATAAACACTTGTCTGGCAAGTACTAGGTGCTGAGTTCAATCTCCAGTACCACCAAAAATAAATAAATAAATAAATAAATAAATAAATAAAAAAAGAATGTTTGTTCTTTTGCTCAATAGTATTTCATGTATGGATTTCCACAATATTTGCCCATTCCAGGATTTACATGGTGTTCTCAGGTTTTGGTTAATTAGAATAAGGTGCCTATGAATACTTTGGAACAGGTTTTTGTGTGAACATTTTTATTTTTCTAGGATAATGATTACATTTTCTGGGGAATAGTAAATACATGCTTAGTTATGTAAGACAAACTTTTCTAGATTGGCAATACTATTTTTCATTTCTGTCTGCAAAATGAGTGACCCAGCTTTTTATCTTTCCTAATACTTTAGATTATTATATATTTTTAAAACTTTAGCCATTCTGAAAATGTAGTGACATCTCATTTTGATTTTTATTTCCATTTACTTACTGGCCAATAACGTTGAATATTTTTTCATGGGTTTATTTACCACCTTAGTTTTCCATTCAATGAAATGTCTCCATCTTTGGGCCATTTCTAATTGGGTTGTTCTTTAAACTGTTGAACATTAAAAGCTCCTAATGTATGGTACATATACACTTTTTGTCAGAATGCCTTGCAAATATTTTCTTGCAGTCTATTGCTTGTCTTTTCATCATCTTTACAAGGTCTTTCACATAGCATACATTTTATATTTTGATGATCATCTTAAGAATCTTGCTTTGGTGTCATGTTTAAGAATTGTACCTACCTGAGGCTATGAAGATTTTCTCCTAAAAGTTTTGTGGTGGTATATTTTGCATATAAGACCATGATTTTTTTTCTTTTGAACCAACAAGTCTTTATTAAAGGGCTGCAGTTACTGGGAGGAGGCCATGAAACTGGACACACTGTCAAAGTTGATCTTCTCCATGATGTTCTTGGGATTGCTGCTCTCCTCCTGGCTGCAGATGAAAATCTGCCCCTGACTTGTCTGCACTCCAGCTGTATTTGCTCATCCACACCTTCAGCTGTCTGTCTGACAGATCCCTGAGCATCTTAGACAGAATCTTCAAAGATAGTTATACCTTCCAGGAGGTCCATATTTTTATCCAGAGCTTGCCAGAAGGCCTGGAAGTGACAAGTCTCCAGCAAGTCCCCATGGTACAGAATCTGATGGAATAGGTCATTCTTCTTGATCAGCCTGGTTGATCATGCACTTGCACAGGGTGAAGCTGGTGTGGGGCAGGTTGTTGAGGGCCTTCAGCAGGATCTGGGCAGTGACTGTGCCTGAAAGAAGGCTGGGTCGAACTGGCACAACTTCAGGACAGCCAGGTTGGCTTCCAGATCACAGGCCTTCTCCTTGGCTTATGTCTCCAGATAGCGCTCCAGGGTGGCCAGGTTCTCAGGATTATACTGGTTGATACCCTTGAGCACTTGCCCATGTTCACTCTCATCTGCTCAACCATCGCCATGACTACTGCCTCCTTCCAAGATCAGTGCTAGGGTGGAACTCTGTTTCATTTTGAATTATTATGGTATAAGGTTCCATATCCAAGTGCTCCAACACCACTTGCAGTCACACTATCCTCTACTGAATTATCCTTCTTTGTCAACATCACATGTTTAGTATACTTATAACAATAGTATATTTTTACCCATCCTTTTTTTTTTTTTACTATTTATGCAGATTTGCTTTATTCAGATCTATTCCTGTTCAGTTTATCCATGAATCCTTACAGGTTCATTCAATCACAAGAAGCAAACTTCTGGACAAGTGTCACTTTTCCCCCATGAAGACTTTTATCCTGGAAGGTGTTCCTCTTCCTTCAGCTTCTAACGATGACGATACTCTCGCTCTCGGTCCCGCTCTCGGTCCCGCTCTCGGTCCCGCTCTCGGTCCCGATCTCGGTCCCGGTGTCTCTCTCTCCCTGCTTCTCTCTCTATAGTAATCATCATGGCGATCTCTGCTACGGGATTTATGACGCCGACTCTTTTCTCGTGATCTACTATGGTCCCTCTCTCTTGATCGTTCACGTCTTCTCGATCCAGAACCATATGACTTGGATTCAATTCCATGAAGACAATCTTGCAAAGAGCTAATGAGAACTTTGCAGCGATCATCAGCGGACACTTTGGATTGTTTAATTAAAGAAATTGCAGTAACCAATGTCTCAATAGCACTCCCATAATCACCAGCACTGGCATCAGACACAGCTCTTGAAATAGCAATGCTTGAGATTGCCCTATTTCTATTCATGATTTCTTCAAACTCTGCTTCACTCAAAGGTGTTCTTGCAGTATCCATTTCCCTCCCAGGGGGGCCATAGTCACCCCTATCATATGGAGGAGCTCGGCCATATGGATCTGTTGGTGGCGGACCTCGACTATCTGATGTAGGCATGCCGCTGTTAGTTGGTGGAGGAAAGAAAGCTGGATTCACATGTGGAGCTGGCGGTGGGGCACCTGGAGGTGGTCCCGGAAGATGCGGCGGAGGAGCAAGTGTAAGGGGTGGCCCTAGTGGACCAGGTGGGCGAGGTGGAAAGGGGCCTGGAGGTGGTGGTGGTCCCTGCTGTGGAGGTGGTGGGCCAGGAGGGGGGCCATAACCTGGAACTGGAGGTGGAGGTCCAGGAGGAAGTGGACCCAACGGAGGCTGCCCAAAAGGCTGTCCAGGAAAGAGAACTGGTGGTGGAGGGCGGTCTCCTCGATTAGGAGGCCCAGCTAGAGGAGGTGGCAGAACCTGACCAGGAGGAGGAGGGCCTGGAGGACCAGGCGGGCCAGGAGGACCTAAGGGCGGGCGTGGTGGGGTTTGTCCAGCTGGAAAAGGTGGGGGTGGCCCTCCTGGTCCTGCTGGCCCAGGAAATCTGTCCCCACCGGGAACAGCCCCTGGAAAACGGCCCCGTCCTCTACCACCTTGTGGAAATGCTGCACGTGAACTGCCTCCTGGAGGACCAGCTTTACCTTCCCCAGACATTTGTCCTGATTGTGTAGTTTTCCTGGACTGCATTTCAAATTGACTCAGGAACTGTTTATTGCACGGGGTTACAACAGGATTCTGGCCATGAAGTTCTCTTTTGGGCAAAAGATCCATTAACTTTTTGGAAGATGCTTCAGATCCAACACCAACAAGTGCAAATCCCTTTGACTGGCCATTTGCCCGATTTTCAAAAAAATTTATCTCCAAAATATCATTTACTCCCAAAGAATGAACTGCTTCAGTTAAGTCTTCATCTGTTGTCCACCAAGTTAGATTTCCAATATATAATGCAATTCTCTTTCCAGTATACGTATAGACAACATTGGGTGCTGCTCCTTTTCCCACATCATCGCCAACGGTTGGCGGGAGGGTACCCATGTAATCCCGGTCTTCTGGAGCATCTCCATTATTTGCAGATGGGGAGATGACATCATCATACAGATCTATCTGATCATGCCCACCATATTCCGCTTCCTGGTTGAACTCCTCGCCCACGTCCGCGTAGATGTCTATGTGGTCCACGCCGTCCGCCATCTTCCCTCCGCCGAGCCGCAGCCCCCATCCCCTTCTTTTTAAAAATTTTTTTCCATTCTTTTCTTTATGAAGGACCCTTGATGCCTTTTTAGCAGGCAACCTCAGGATTCAGGTATAGTGTAAGGCCATGTAATATTTATCAACACTCAGGCAAAAGCAGAGCATTGAGTGAAACTCAATGTGAATAAATGAGATGGCAGTTCATCTTCCTTTCTGGCCCTGTTAAAATCTTCACAACAAAAGTAAACATTCATCTGTATATTGGTATTGCCTCCCAGTGAGCACATAAGCCCACTGACACCATGAGAGAGGAGAGGGAAGTGGAGTGCTGGTTACATTGTCTCCCACCCGTATCTTGCTGATACAAGTGGGAGTGCAGACTAAATATCCCTGGTCAGATATTCTAGTAGGATTTTGTTTTTCTTTCAATTCTGGGGATGGAACCTAGAGCAAGTACTCAGCCATATCTTCAACCTGTTAGTTGAATTTTTAAAAAATTTTTATGTTCGAGTCTCCTACGATCCTCAATTTAAAACAATTTAAAATGTATATTATCTTTAATGCTGACTCTGAATGTATTTGCTTTCCTATGAAATAATTGCATACACAGCATTTTCCAGAGTCAAAAGCAAAAACTAAAAGTGTATTAATAACAGTTATTTAGGAAACAACGCTTTGTAAGCAAGGTGGAAAAGAGGCTGAAGGGAGAGGAGGGAATTGGGAAAAAGAATCAAGATATACCATATATTAATTCAATGAGAAGAAAGATTTGTACTAACAGTGTTTGGACAGGATATGTCTGTGTCTTGTACTATGAATAACCACTATGAAGACAACAATATGCAGTGTACTAATTATTGAAGCTGTCCTACTAATTGATTTTGAACCTGTCTCATTGCTATTTGTTTCTCAATAAAATTACTAAAATAAAAGATATACCACATATAGGTACTAATTCTCTATGATGAATAGGATCATTGTGTATATTTAAACTTCACCAATAAAGATTATAAAAAAATCTCCACACAAAAATAAATAATTTTTTTTTTTGGTGGAACTGGGGATTGAACTCAGGCCCTTGCACTTGCCAGGGAAGAGCTTATCCCACTGACCCACCTCCCTGGCCCCAATAAATACATTTTTAAAAGAAAAATAAAAAGAAATGGGTTAAGGATCTAGCTCAGTGGTGCTGCACCTGACTGGGAGGCATGATCCTGAGCTTGATTCCTGGTACCAACTCCCCCCACCATACACAAAAAACAAAAAAAGTTATTTAACATCGTAATATGGAATTAAAAATTAGACTTTGTGTTATTTTCTGTATGAGTTCATATTTTCATAAAGTATCTTCACTAATTTGTAGAGAATATTGTCTACAATAATTTAACAGTATTTACGAGTGCTGAATGAGAAGTAAAGTTCAGTAACTGTAACACTATACTTACTAGACGTTTTTACAGTCTTTATGATTTAATAGTAGAATGACCTTATTTCTTTTTCGGGGATGTTGAATGGGTGTTATGATTCCCACATCCTGATGAAGCTTTACATGTCCTTAGTCCATCTTTTGCATTGAGGACAAAGTTTATTAAGTTGGAAGGCATGGTTTTTTCAATTACTGATGGGGGCAGTTTTCCTTTCATTTCTGTCTGAACAAACATCACTAGTTTGGAATATGCTGGGTTTCTGTAAGCAAAAGAAAAGTTTAGAAAAGATAAAGAATTTTTAGTGCATTGAATTTATCATTTTATGAAGAGCAGGATTCTTATTCACCACTGACTCTTTTTCACAGTGCTGATAGTAAGATACTTACTGAAGGAGGGGAAGCAAAAAGATAATGTGACTTGTACTGAGTTTTATAAATACAAACTTTCCATAACATATTAGTATGATTCAAAATCTTCAGGTTTAGGCACCTTTTCCTTCTTGTAATTTTATTGATTTTTTGGTAATTATATGGATATGAACCCCACATGTATCTATATATTATACATACACATATAAATACACCTACAGATATACATAGTTAAAAAAAAGATATATTTTCTTCAGCTAGCTTTATTTTCCTTAATAGGCTCTCTTGTCCTTCCTTCTGTGTCTGTACTTCAGATTGTTTTTCATAGTTATCTACAGTACTTGGTACTATTTTTAATAGTCCTTTAACTGCCTGTCAGGTTCTGCTTATTTTTTAGTATAAGCTGCAGTAAAGCATCTTTGTAATATATCTATTCATGCTTTTGTAAGTATTTAGAATATTTAGGTCAAACTTTCTATATTTAACATTTGGTATGTTATTTCCAAGTTGCCTGCTAAGATTAGACTAATAGTTTATATTCTAACACAATGATCTTCAAGCTGTGGTATGAGAAGTTGAATACTTTTGAGGGAATAAAATTTTACATTCATTGTGTCTCAGTTACTTTTCTATGATTGCTGGGACAAAATACCCAATGCGCAGAATCAAGGAAGGAAAGGTTTATTTAGCTCACAGTTAGTGGAGGTTTCTATCCATACTCAGCTGGCTCCAAGGCAGGGTGGCACAAGGCAGAGGGCTGTTGTTCATGGTGGAGGCAAAGAGTATAGAGCAAAAAGGAGAAGTAGCAGCAACAGTGGACATGGACAGCAAGCCTGTCTCCATTATGTTGCATTCAGAGTATCTGCCCCAGGGCAGGTGTAGCACTCACACCCAGAATCCCTGTGATGGATCATGATTAATCACAAACTCTCGAAGTCTGCCCCATAACTACATGAGACTTCACGTGGACAAATAGACACAAACTGCAACAACTTGTATATGCATTTCCCTTATCCTGATCTGTGTTTTTGATGGAAATGTAGGGTTTTCTTTCTGCTCAACCTGTTCAAAATAACTCATTTGCTTTACAAAGCAAAGACATATTTAACTACATACACTCAAATGACTAGAACTAGGGTGCTTTTCCATGGCAAATAGTATAAACATCTTTGAAATGCTAAAGGAAAATTTGATGTATTAGAAATGACTTGTCAGAGCAAATGACTAATGACTAGGTCATAAATATTATTCTGAATCATGTCAATTCAATCAATAAATTTACAAATTTAACTGAGTTGTCAATTGATAGATTATTAAAATATTTTTGCCAATAGGAATACATTTTATTTAATTCAGAAGGATTCTGAGGCATCAAATACAAGTTATATTCTTTTCATTTTAATTATTTTCGTGAACAAAGTTTCTCAGTTTTCATATTTATAAAATGAAACACAGGAATAGACTTGGTACTAAAAGTCACCTTATTTTGTTAGTAATGTCCATCCACAATGAAAGGAAATGAGGACAGAAGTTGAACTATGGATGCATGAACCAGTGTGCCTTGGTTTGAAGCTGAGCTTTGCTATTCCTTATGTGTAAGCTTGAGAAAGTGCTATAACTTTGGGCTTTCACTTTGTGTTTTGAAGCTTGGCACAGTACACCACCTTGCTCTAGGGTTTTTGTGAGGAATAACTAAATCAATATGTGGCAACCACTTAGAAAACATCTGGCACATATGAAATGCAAAGTTTTGCTAAAGATAAAATGCATTTTCAGTAACACTTTGCTTTATGTTTATTATGTGCAAAAATTGTAATATATTTTTTATTTTGATCAATATGTAATGATAAGTTATTCTAGAAGGCACATATTTTAAAAAACTGGCCACAGAAAACAAACTTAAAAGCTGAAATTCATACTGTTTTTACAGAAAATTAAGATGTTAAAAATTAATTCCAAGTCTAAAGTTTATTCCATTGGGATACAATTGTGTGTGTGTGTGTGGGGGGGTGTTAAAATGTGAGTTCAAAAAAGAGGCATAGATTGCTAAAAGCTTTGTGTATTTTTCAAAAATTTATTTAGTACAAGGTCTACAGGGTCTCCCTACACAGATTGGACTCATAGTGATCCTCCTGTTTTCAGCCTCCCAAGTACTGGGCTTACAGGTGTGTACCATCATGCCTAGTCTCAATCGCCATCTCAGTGTGCCCAGGGAGCGGGGCTGGCATGGCAAGCTGGGGATCGAACCCCAGCCTCTGTACTCTGTCTAAGCAGGTGCTTTAATTCACTGAGCAATTTTCCTGGCCCTAGCTTTGTGTATTTTGCAATGGATATTATAATGGTGGATTTCAAATTATGGTAGTTACATTTTACTGATGCATTTGTAAGAGTGATACAGTTACTTTAAAAATGCTAATATTTATAATATACTAAAAATTATACTCCTTTCTTCAGTTTTATTCTATGGAAAATTTTAAGGTTGATAAAAACATGCAAGGAGAATTTAAAAAATTCTCTTGGAGTATGAAGATACTGCACTAGCCAATCATGTTATTCTCCATTTTCTCATGCCCTTCTCCAAGCAGAGTGTAGACTATTTTTACAGTGCTTCAAAGGGCTGAATTGGAATACGTGTCAGCATTTTATGCGATCCTAAATCTCTATTTGCACTTACTGTGGGTTTGCAACACGTCAGATAGCTTCCCCAGGATTTAGCACAGAGTAATTTGCTACTGCTATGTGTTTTGCATGCCTTGTTCATAAATTTTGGCTGTCCAAAATGTTGGACTACAAAGAGTCAAAAAGAATTACTTTTTATTAGTATCATTCTCTATAACTGAAGGAAACTACCTTTATTCCAGCAGGACATGAGGCAGAGTTTAGATCCTGAATGGAATACCACGATTAGAGATCTTGTCTCTTTTATGTTTTGTAGTGGAAAGAAGAGGCTGATAAAAGTTCACGAAGGACACTTGACCTGAGAAGCATGCTGAGAGTGTGTGACTTCCCAACTAGTGTCCCCACAAACAAGCAATTTACTTACCTGATTTGGAGCAATAATCCTTCATTTATTTTGTTCTTGTCTGCTCTGGAGAATGAAATCTTGGCCATGCGCTCAAAATTGATAAATGAATGGAAGGACTGCACACTGTGACTGTTTTTATCATGTATACCAATGATTCTGTTTACCAATGTAACATTTTAGTTTTATAGGTCAGAAGAGAAAACATTAAGGAACACAGATCTTTCATTTTCTTTTGGCTTCAAATTCATTTTTCTTGTATTGATAGTTTATATCTTACCAATAAGAACTTACACTTATTTTTAAATAAGATATCATTAGTATGAATTACTGCTTAAGGAATGTGTGAAGGGATGTACACTGAATTAGAACATATGGTCTTACAGAATCTGTGCATTTCATATTGCCAGTTTATCCTGAGGCTGGACACCTGTAGGCAGTAACTCATTTCTGATTTCTGCAGCTTTTTTCTTATCTGAATGTATGTCTTAGACACTTATTCTGCAGGTCTGTGTCTCAGCAGGTAGTCTATTGGAAATGGGCCATTCAAGGTGAAGAATTCACTTTTGATAAATTATGAATTGTTCTTGGGAAATTTATTTTTAATTCATAAAAATTCCTCTAATTTATAAAAGCGACTAATGGAGAAATACGAAATATTAGGGAAAGTTGAAATGTAGGGAAATGTTTGTGTGTTCCTACTTCCAGAAACCTGAAATAGTATTTCATAGAAAACTATATATTCTGATTATACTTAAGATGAAAACAAATAGAAGAAGTTTCTTTGAAAACAAACAGAAGAAGTTTCTTTAAAATTGCATTTAGGGGAAGCTTTTTTCCCAATCATATATGTTAGCACATATTTCTACTGATGAGCAAATCTATCTTTAAAAAACTGTCAAATAATGCAAATAACACTTACTCTTTCAGAGGTGAACATACGTAGCCACAAGGATGGTTATAACCACGGATATAATCAGAAGTTGGAGGATATCCTGGGAAATCCACGCTTTTAGCTACGTGATTTTAAAAAATGAAAATGAAGATCAAAAACTACTTTCAGCAACATACTTTTAAAAATGTATAACACTTAAATAAGTTATCAGCATTAACATTAGTTTATACATTTGTGTATATATTTACACTATCATTTGCATAGATGTTATTCTTTTACATAAGGTAAACTATTACAAGACTCATTTATTTTCTGAGATTTGAAGCAGAAGAAACCACAAAGGAAAGGACATTTGGTTGTGCTGTTGTGGTCTGTAGATTTTGTTAATGCTTTGTTGTTAATCCTTTTTTTTAAAATAAAGTGGTTGAATGACTTAACATTGCCTCTTCTGCTAATTTCTTGTCACTAACTTCAAAATATTAAAAATACAAAGAATTTTTGAAATAATTGTGTGGTATAATGTTTACATTGTATGTGGAGTGGGAGTGATTTGATTATGGTTTCATAATTATGTTCTTTCCATAAATATTTTATATTTGCTTATTTTGTGCAACTAAATCTTGTCCTTGGTGGAGAAGATGGATTTTTTTTCTACAATTTTAACATAAGTTACCAGTTCAGGGGAGGAACACAATATGAAACACTAGCTTAGGAAACATGTAGTTGAATGAATTTTCCATTTTGTATCATGGTATTAACAGAGCCTATTATGTTGGCTTAATGATACTGCCAGGAGTAATATTAAAATATTTTTCTCTGTTTAAAATATTGATGCTGGGTTTGTGGGCGCTTGCTTATAAACCCAGAATTGAGGAGGTGGAGGGAGGAGGACTGCTGAGAGCTCAAGGCCAGCCTGGGCTACACAGTAAGACCCTGTCTCCACAAAAATATGGAGATCATGCTTTATTCTTTAAAGTCTTTTATAGTTTACATATAGGTGTAGGCCTTTCGTGAGGAATATAGTGTGGTAGTTTGCACTTATCTTGGAAAATTATAAAGAGTTTTGTTTCAGTTGTTTTATAGCTATTCAGCTTCATTTCCTAACTGCTTCATTTATGTGAACTTTAGCTTCCTTATTAGTGAGAAAATGCAAGCAAAATATTTAGCTTAAAGCAAAGTTCAGAATAAGGTAAAAAGCACTAAGAATAGTAATAGAATTTATAAAAATTTGTTCAATTAATTTTGTTTCTTAGGATTCTTGAATGCCTTGAAGCTTAAGCAAATTATCTATTTACATCCATTCCTGCAGTGTTTAATGCTATAAAAATCTAGGAAATGCCAGAATTATTGACCCCTATATATGACACCTCATATACTGGGTAGTATATCTTTCATCACCATAATAATAGTTGTTACTTGTGAGTCCTATTGAGTAAATTAAGGAAAAAAGCTAAAATAGTTTCTTCCAAACTATGAATTAAAGGGAAAAATTATTAATGACTCATAGTGATTCCAAATGTGGGCAAAATGTCTCAACTTACAACTGATAATGGTCACATTCCCTTCATAGTACTTGATGTGCACTACGTCGATAAAGTCTCGGGGGGAGATTGAGCCCATGGCAAAACTCTGTGTAATGGTATGACATATTAATGTGCCCTGTAATAAATCAAATCATAAAGATTACAAAAATCATTTCACATTTATCATTTATATTGTTCCCCAAAGAATTTCATATGAACAGCCTCTATTTCAACAAAGCAAGGCTTTGAAATTTTAAGACTAAACCTCCAAATAAGCTTGCCTTTTTAATGTTACTTTTCTATTTTTTTTTATTTTTTGCGGTACCAGGGATCAAACTTAGGAACTTGCACTTGCCAGGCAGGCCTTTATATTGCTGAGCTATAGTCCTGGCCCTCTTAAGCTGTATCCCTGGCCTTTCTGCTTTTTTAATGTTAAAGGAGCATGAAAGTTACAACTCGTAGAAAATTCAGGGAATAATCTTTAGATCATCTAGGTTTCCAGTTTTATCTAGAAGCCCGGTAATTAAATCATATATCTAAGGTAGTACAGAATTAGAATCCAGGTCTTTTGGCTTTCCTATTACAATACTATTCATACTACTCCACACTGGCTAGGAAATATAGAATAAAAATACATAATTTAGCACCCAGAAATATTAGGCCTAAAATAAAGACCATTGTATGAGTACATATGATGTCTGGCAAAACTTGATAGTTCTTGATTGTCAGAACAGCAGGTTTCTCTCCCTACATTTTTGCAAATAAGAGCCACTGGCCAAATAACTCTTGCTATCAAAAGGACCAGCACAGTTAATTTATTCCTCTTTGTTAGATTTCTGCTCTGTGACAGCCTATGGAATTACTCAAATAATAACTCCATTACGTTTGCCTACAAGAATTCAGAGTCATTTCACCCTCTTGATACTATAAAGCCCATCTCCCACAATCTTTGGTTATTTAATATGTTCTTATATGGTCCTGTAGGATATTGTGCATCCTCTTGTTGAGGTCTGTGATTAATGAATCGCTAACTCATTTGTCTGGTGCCAGCTCTTAGAGCAGAAATTCTGTTCTCACTCATGGGGTAAATAGCCAAAACACATGGTGATGAATACTATAAATATTAATAGGAAAGTGAGGTAGTTTTCCTGATGGCACAGTGCTATTCAGATATATCAGGGAATACTGACCTGAAGGGGCAGTACTGGAGTTTGGAATCAGGAAACCTAGTACAAATCCTGCTTTTATTATACATTACCTGCTCTAATCATGGGCAAATTTTTTTGATGGCAAGTCTAGCAGTCTTTCCATCATAACAGCTGACTTGCAATGCAGCACTAGCAGAAATCTGTATGATGTGATTCATACAAAGATGAAATAGCCCAATGTTTGGATTTTTAATTGTGATTCAAATCTCAAAAAGGCCATGGACATGTATTATTTATTGACAGGAACTTTGGGGGCTCCCTACAAGATGAAACTGATTCACCTTCTTTGGCCTTCCTGTACTTTTTCTTCCCTTCTAAACTTTAAGATCAATTTAATAAATGTAGACAAAATTACACAGTTCTAAGCAAATGTTAAAGTGATGGGCAGATAGCACACACAGAGCCTAATTTTTACTTTTGATGGGTTGAAGACTCAAAGAACCAAAGGTTTGTAAGTTTACAAATGCAATCGATAAAAATCAGAAAAAAGTTTGTTTCATTTCCTGTCTCTTTTACTACCTTTTCCTAATAAAGTCATCATTAGCTAAAATCCCAGCACTAACTTTTCTTGTGCTGGGGATGGAAGGCAGGCCCACATATGTTAGGCAAGTACTCTGCCACTCAGCTATACTCCTAACCCTGTTTGAAAACGTATAATTTACATATAAATTCACCCCTTTTAAGTATACAGTTTGAGTTTTCTCAAGCTTATTCAATTGTGCATTCTTCACTACAATTCAGTTTAGAATTCTTCTTTGATTGCTTTCTCCCTGCATCAGTAAAGCCAGGTGACTTTCTCTACAATGTATGTTGGGCCCCCTGACTTACTACCTCCTCTTCTGTCACCATCCTGGCATAAGCTGCTATGCGTCTCTTTTGGATTACTATGAGACTCTCCTAACTGTTCTTGCCAATTTTATTTGTGCCCTCTTATAATCCGTTCTTCTTTTAGTAGTGAAGAAGAAGAAGAAGAAGAAGAAGAAGAAGAAGAAGAAGAAGAAGAAGAAGAAGAAGAAGAAGAAAAAAACCCCACCCAAATCAGGTTTAAAACACTCTAATGGATTCCTACCAAACAGAATAAAATTTCTCCCCACAATCTATCAGATTTTTACAGAACTGGATCCTAACCTAACCTAACTTCACTTGCTTTTCCTATTTCAGTTCTTACCGCATTGTTTCCTGTTCTTTAGGTTCAAACTTCACAGATGTTTTTCTTCATTAAACATTGCTAAAACCCTAAAATTCAAGTTGTTTGCATTTGTTTTCCCTCTGCTGTTTCTTCATCGTCTCTTGTCTGTCCTCCCTCACGTCTATATCATTCAGATTTCTACCCAAATACTTCTCAAAGACATTTTCTGATTAACTAGGTACCAGTGAGCTCCTTCTGGTCATTGCTTTGGCCTTATAGTATTTGTTCTTACCATTCCAACCATTCATAGTACTTTCATTATCTGATATCTTTTTTAATGTTTACTTATGATGCCTCTATTGACTAAAATATATTCTTTCTGCAGGTGAGGACTTTTCTATCTTGTATTCCAGTAGCTGAACAACAGCAAATATTTCATGACTGGTGCTCAACATGTATTTTCAGAATGAGTTAGTCAGAGAATAAACACCTTTCCAGGAGGAATTCCAATGAAGTTAGGATTTCTTCACAAACTGACTCATAAGAAAGAAAAAAAAAAAAAAAAACACAAACTGAGACAGAAATGGACAATAAACTTTAATATATTACAGTCAGAATTATTTTCCTTTCTAGGTCCTTTTTTATAGCAGTCTCAATGAATGAGGGAGCTATTGCTTCTTTTTCCTTGCTTTTACCCTTTACCATGTATCATTCTTTCCCATTTTCTTGATTTGTTTTCTTCTGAGTTTTCCACTGTGTTCTCTCCTATTATCTTTCTTTGATTCCCCTCTAAACCTTGCTTGCCTCTCATAGTCCCTCTTTCTTTTCCTCACTTGTTTTCCATTGTCTACTCGGATTGCCTTTAATTTTTTTGTTTTTTTCTCTCTTTTCATAGCTATTTAAGTCAGATAATTATTTGAAAGTCTTCGTAAGCTGTGTCACATTTTATACAGTATTAGAGTGTTTCTGTGTGCTTTACTCTTACTCTTAATGCTAGTGATAAGCCCTTATGGTATCTGCATTGTTCCTGTTTTTTTCAATATAATCTGAACTGCCTTGATTTCTCATCAACAAGGTATGCTTACTGTTTACCTTCCCTGTAATGGAGATCAATCTCTGTGTTCAATTCCTTCATAACAAAACATATACATTACCAACAGATGTACTTACAAACAAAATACAGCTAGTTAGAAGTAAACTCTTACTAGAGAAAGAAATTTTAAGGCTTTTATAAAAAATTCAACTCAATTTGAATGTATAAAATGTTGTCCATAAACATAATTTTAATAAACTCATTAAGATATAAAACTAAAAAATACTCATTCAGTAGAAGTGTGATATTAACAAATTACCGAATCAATGCTGTGTATCACATTGTATGCTTTTAATGATTTGTCCCATGTAATCCTGTTCCTAGGCTGGTAGAGGAAATCAGATAATTTAGTCGATGATTCTGGAATTACTACTTCAACACGATATCTGTAAATAACAAAATAAAAAAGTTCAAAACTTAAGTTTAGTCTAAGCTAACAATATACTGCTAGTAAAAATGTTTCAGATTTGTTCAGATTTTGGAGCAAATAATGATGTATCCAGAGGGTTGGGACCCTTCATAGTAAGTGAAGAGCTAAAAGCACAAGAATATGAAGGGCAAAAGGGGATCGTCGGGATGCAGCTCTTCTTAGAAGGTCTGAAAGGCCCTCTAGTAGATGCTCCTGGCAGTGTTAGGAATAGACCATGCTGAAGAACTGGTGTTACTGATTCTTCTTGTGAAGTACACAAGTGTGTGGAATAATCTAATCTAAATCCCAGATTCTGGTTTTAAGAATGTTACAAACTCACTACTGAATGACATAAATTTTCATTCTCAAAGTTCTTCCTGAGTGAGAAGGCAGCAGAGCTGAACTAACACTTTTCACATTATCTTATTAGCAAAATCTACATTACTTTGATAGCCAAGAAGAATTTCAAAACTTAAGGTTTCGAAGCTACTAGACTAAGGTAGTTTTCTTCATTTTGGTACGGAAAATGTATTACATTTGTTGTTTTTACCTGAATGTTTTAATTTTTGAATTTTAAAAAATTTTTTGACACAGAATCTACTCTGAAGTTTAGACTGGTCTTGAACTCATTATGTAGCCCAGACTGTAATTGAACTCATAGTGATCCTACTGCCTCAGCCTCCCAACTGCTGGGATTATCATCATGTGCCACCATGCCCAGCTTGAATATGTTAATTTAAAATATTTATATGATTATCTCATTTATCTGCCTGGGAGGTAAAACAATTAAATGTAGTGACGGTAATGATGGTAATAATAAATCATGGCAATAACTGGGAGAGGAGCAAAAAAGGAGTAGGCTAAATCATCATGAAATGTCTAAAAGTAGAAAAGATACATTCCTGAACTCTTCTGGCTAACTTGCCTCAATTATTCCACAGATAGTTAGGGAAAGTCAGAGAAAACAGTGATTAAAAAAGCACACTGAGCTTTTGCAGAAAAGCCCTAGCTTTTGAAAGCTTTTTTCTCACCATTTATGAGCTAGAAGACTTTGGGATAGTGATGTAGTCATCTGTAAAATGGGGATAAGAACAGTGCTTACATTGTGAGATACATGAGGAATAAATCTAAAAATAAAGCAGCTGGCATAAGGCCTAAAATGTAAGATTAGGACATCTGAGGAGCTTCTAACTCTTAGAAGTGTTTAGGCTGAACTGTGATGCGAACATTATATTTTCCTTTTAAGGGCATAAAGCAAAGAAATCCTACCAAACAACTAGCTCCCTTTTCATGTTTACAAGTGTTCAAAGCTAATCATAAAAGGTCCTTTTTGGGTAGTAAATTATTAAGAAAATTCACAAATGTTGATAATATGTTATTTTAGCATAAAATGTTATTTTCTGTACTACAGCTAAGAGATTTTTAACTTCTGAGCCTGTAAAATCCACAAATTCATTCAATAAATCCTGCGCATGTGCGGGATGGACTGCTCTGGTGCTAGGGACACTGCAGTGAGTGAGTGCTATATCCCTACTCTGGTTCCTACTCAAGTTCCTATACTCATCAGGTTCATATTCTAACAAAACATCAAATGAATAGTAAATACATTTCATACAGTGATAAAAGTGGCTGACTGTATATACATGGCAACTCTGGCCAGGTGGCCAGAGGGGTGACTCTGAGGAGACAAAGTTAAAACCTCGATGATAAAAACCATATTAGTCTTGTAGAGTTCTGGGAGCATACCATGGCAGTGAAAAGAGCCACTATGAAGGCCCCGTGGGCAGTGCATCAAGCTAAACGCATCCAGCCAAATAAAGTTTTAAGTTGGCACAATTCCCTTAGCATACTTGTATTTGAAACAAGGGGATCCTCAAAAATATCCTTAAAAGTAGCTTATATCAGCAAAATAAGTGAGGCAAAAGACCTCTACCTTATAGTAGCTTATTTAAGGGAAAGTAAAGGGTTTAAGGCTATGAATATAATATTACTTTTAGGAAGAAGACAGAAATGTGTTTGTATAATTTCTTGAAATAGAATTTTCTTAGTGAATTATTCTCTAGAAGGGATATTTGTTTTTGTGGCACTCAAACTGAAAGCCTCTACTAACTAGCCACAAAAAGATTTTTTTTGGGGGGGGTGATTATTGTTAGGTTTGAAAATAAATGATTAGATACTATGTAATCATTATGTTATTAATATCACATTGCAGCCTAATTTTTGTTTCCTATTCAACAATTTGCTGTAGTTAATGAAGCAGCACTAAATTCTGGGTATACTGATGCCTGTGAATTAAAAACAATGATTACAAATAGAATATTTTTTTAACAAACAGAAAATTATACTCACAGATTTCCAACAAATCTTTTAGAAGCCTTGATGGAGACAGTTATCTTTTTCTCAAAGGGAAATAAAAATCCACAAGTAAATTGTTAGATGTAGAGAAAGGAAAGTGAAAACACAAAAGTAAGAGTATTTTTTCTAGCTGGTAAAAAAAATATTTAGAAAAATGTCATTACCATGAGTTCTCATTAAAAAAATAAATTCTTGAAATATGATTGTTCTCTTACTGAATTTTTAATCACTTTCCAGCCAGATGTCTCTTGATTATAACCAAAAACTTCTTGGGAAGTTTGTTGGGCAACTGCCTTATAGTCCATCTACCTGTAAATTTTTAAAAATAAATGACAAGTAAGAATGTAATCATAAAAACACTCTTTCGAGACAGTGTCTTACCATGCTGTCCAGGTTATTCTTGAACTTGAGTACTTGGCATTACAGGTATGTGCCACCATGGCTGGCTCATCTAAAAACTCTTACAATGCTGTATTACTTCTTAGTACTACTTCTATAATGTCTGTGGAAGTAGTGTAACACACATAGTTACTTCTTCATTGTATGTATGAACCTTTTCTCTTTACAGTTTTTCAAATGAAAAAATGTGGCATAGTGGAAAAAGCCAGGCTTTGGAATCAAAGATCCTCCTGTCTCTGTCATTTATTGTATGAAGCATTTTATTTACTCTATGTTTTTTCATTTTCCTCTTGATACAAAGTTTGGATAATACGAATGTTGTAGAATAAGCATCATCTGCAAATAATTTAACTTCTTCTTTACCTATTCTTATTCCTTTTCTTTCTCTTGACTAATGGCTATAGCTAAGGATTCCAGAACTATATTGAATAGGAATGGTGATAGAGCACATCCTTGTCTTGTACCAGATCTAAGAGTAAAAGATTTCAGTTTTTCCCCATTTAGAACTATGTTAGCTGTTGGGTTTTCATAAATGGCCTTTACCAGGTTGAAGTAGATTATGGGGCCAAAGAGGAAAGTGATCGATGATGTAGAGTGTGCCTAAGGAGAGTCACATGGAGAGAAAACATTCTCTCAGGCTTTCACAGAGAGCACATTGGCCAAGCAATGGCTGTGACTCATCCACATGCTGACACTGACAAAAGATCTGAGGTACAGGGTCTCAGGATAAATCCTGAGGGGATTTCACTGACCTTATCAGACCCAAAAGCTACAACTCTTGTTGCATAGATCTTGCTTTATCTTGGTCTTAACCATCCAGCAGAAAAGCATAAAAATGAAGAAGTAAAGCCATGCTGTCATGTTGAGCTGTAGGGGACTCAGGTCAACAATTTCTGACACTGCCACTCAAGAGGAAGACCCAATACTATTATGGACTGCTGGTCTCTTTTAGAATATTTTGCTGAGTTAACATACCTATAATATTCAAATGATGGAACTAAACAAAAAAGGGGATACAGATGAATGTCCACTTTGTATCTGTGTATTCAAAATGGTTAGGATAGATATATAGTTACATTCTCTTAATGAATAGAGGGATTTGTTCTAATAGTGTTTGTAAATAGGATATCATGTCTGCATCTTGTACAGCAAATAATCACTAGGAAGAGAGTATGCAATGTGTTAATTATTGAAACTGTCCTACCAATTTGATTTGAAACTGTCTCATTGCTATTTGTCTCTTAATAAAATTATGGGAAAAAAAAGAATGAGCATGAGGATTGAGATAATGCACTTAAATATTCTACCCCACAGACTGACATGTACTAGTCATTCAATTAACTATTAGTTCTTATTTTTTCCTTTTTCTGTAATGCATCACAATGTGCTCTCTGGAATTAAACTTTCCAAGTATATGTCAGCGACATTACATGATCTGACCCATGGCTTCCTTTTTGAACATACCTCCTATTGGTTGTCTCTTTAGCTCCAATCATATTGAACTCCTGGCTGCTCCTCAAACATAACTAAGCACCTTCCTAAGTCAGCATCTTCTTACTTGCTCTTTCTTCTGCTTTGAATATTCCCGCTTAATATGTTCACATGACTGTGTCACTGATACCTTTGCTAAATTGGCACCATTTCAGGATGCAGTTTGATTTATTCAATTCAAACACACTTAATGAACTTGTACTTGAAGTTAGATACATACCGCAATGGACTAAATGTTTTTGCCCTCCCCTCCCCAAATTCATATGTTGAAATCTTAGTCTCCTATAAAACAGTATCAGAGGTGGGGTGCTTGGGAGGTGATTAGGTCAGGGGTCAGAGACCTTATGAATGAGATTAGTGTCACTGTAAGAGATTTCAGAGAGCTCATTTGCCTTTTCTGACATGGGAGGCCACAGCCAGAAGGTGAGGGTTTGCTTTTGGAAAAGGCCATGAAACCAATTACCATGGCACTTGGCTCTCAAATTCTGGCTTTTGGAACTCTGCACCATACATTTTTACTGTTTATAAGTTACTCAGTCTATGGCAATCTGTTGTAGTGGGCCCAAAGAGATTAAGAAAGGTATACTGGTAGGTATAACAAAGACAGCTGAGAACAATACTGTTCCTGCTGTGAACGAGTTGAGAAAGCTGCAGTCCTTGGCCTCTCAGTCTGTTTTCAGTTAGGCAAAACTGCCAGCCCTGGTGCAAAGAACATGGAAACAGAACAGGATTTAAATTTTGACTTAGCTACTAATCAACACCTGTATTATTTTGAGTAAGTTCCTTAACCTTAGGACTTCAATTCCCACACTTAAAGAATGGGAATAATAATATTAGTTATCTCATGCAATCTATAAGGATTGAGTTAAATGCTTGAAAGAGAGGCCTTCTTATAAGTGATCTAAATGGTCAGGTTTTTTTTTTTCTTAAAATGGGCAATTTAACACTATCATTAAAAAATTAAAAAGCTGTTTTCTTAAGTACTTTGATAAACTTTAAATTCTTTTTTTTTTCTTTCTTTTTTGTGGTACCAGAGATTGAACTCTGGACCTTGTGCTTGCCAGGTAGGCACTTATGCCTGCTGACCTATATCCCTGGCCCTTTTAAAGCTTAATTATCAGAACATTTGTTTCTTAGGTGTCATCTAAAACGCTTTAGATTGGTTCATAATTTTTTTAAAAAAATTTCTCCAGCAGAGTACAACAGCTAGATAATTTTTAAAATATGTATTAAAAGCCTTTAGTAAACCATTATAACCTTTTCTTTCCTGGTACAGTCCTGGTTTTCCTTTCCTAACAAATCCAGTCCAGAATTAGTCCAGAATTTTAATAATCATTGGGACTCTTCTCTAAATTGTGGAAAACTCCATATTTGTTAACCTGTAAAGGAACAAAGAATCAATTATTTTGATTACATGAATTGATTACTTTGATCCATGAATTGGGTCAAAATAATTGATAAATTCTTTTATATCGTCATAATGTGCGTTGAATTTTGTCTTTATTAGGAAACAATTCTTATATATGTGTAAGATGGAGGGAAAAGGTAGTGAGAAACTTTAAATATTTATTAAGAACCTTTAAACAAATCCTGAGGGTACTAGACTGACCTTATCAGATACAAAAGTTACATTTCTTGTTATATAGCTCTTGCTTTATCTTGGTCTTAACCATCCAGCAGAAAAGTATAAAAAACAAGATATATAAAATAAATCTGTATTAATATGCTGAACTGTGAAAGGCTCAAGTGAACAACTTCTGTGGATAACCCACTACTATTGTGGACTGCTGGACTGTGTTGGATTGTTTTGCTGAATTCACACAATTTTAGTATTTAGATGCCAATGGAATACCCATCTCTGACAGGGCTAAACAAAGAAAAGGGATACAAAGGAAGGACCATTTTTTATCTGTATATACAGAATAGGTAGGATAGATATACAGCTACTTTCGCTTAATTCAATGAGAAGAAAGATTTGAACTAATAGTGTTTGGACAGGATATCCTGTCTGCATCTTGTATTATGGATAACCACTAAGAAGATAACAATATACAATGTATTAATTATTGAAATTGCTATTAATCAGTTTTGAAACTGTAAAAAATAAATTAAATGGCTTAATTAAAAAGAGAACTTTTAAACAATTAAAGGTCAGTTTAAAAAGGCATTTAAGTAGAATATGGCTTAAAAATAACGTTTTTAATGATACTATTCATAATCCTTGTTTGTTCCCCGACCTGGACTTGTCTTAGCACAGTTTCCTATTTCCTATCAGCAACTTACTTGATTTTTGACTGACCTAGAAATTTCACAGATCAGAATAGTTTTCAAATCATTGACATAAAGAATGTAGATATATTTAATTGAATCACCAAGATGAATCTGATACCTTTTGAACTTTTACATTTGCCAAGAGAAACTCAAAAGTGAAGTTCAGTAATCTAAAGGGGATGAGGAAAAATGCAGAGTACAGCTGTTACCTGGTGAAGCAACACCTGACGATGGAACATACTCAGATGAAGCATCAGCGCAGGAGATCTTCACCCACAGGGTCAGTGCAAAGCAAACAGAAACCAGTATTGAGATGGCGTTTTTTTGGTCATACTACTAGGTTGAAACTGGGTTCTTACGCCTCATAACCTGTCCCAGCCTCGTAGACAGGTTCACCCTCGCGGGTAACGGTCTGTCTGTCCGTTCTGCCCTCCTCCGGGCTGCCCCACCGGGTCCCCAATCCGTGCCACTCCGCCCTGGGAATGAAGGTCCCTAAGGAGTTTGTTCAGTCCTGTCCCTGCGGAACGCCCTTCTCCAACCCCACCTCTGTCATCGCCCTCGAGCGGGCCTGGAGGGGG